TCTCTCTCTCTCTCTCTCTCTCTCTCTCTCTCTCTCTTAGACGACGCATGACGACAAGCAACTCTACTTATTTAAATTCAATAACAATTAATATATTCGAGGCCCGATTTTTGCGCAGTGTTCGATTTCCCTTAGTCACTCAGTCAGGCTGATATGAACTGACTCATTTCAGAAACAAAGTTACAGTTGCATTGCTCCTTACAAGATTTTTTCCAGCCAACCTTTAAATCTGTTAACACTACAATAAACATAGATAAAGGCAGTATATACAATGTTTGTTTATATTTCAATCGATAACTAAATCTGTTAAAACTAAAAGAAGCATAAAGATAAAGACATTATATACAATGTTTGTTTTATATTCCAATCGATAATTCTGAAGTCCACAGTTTCTTTCTCCTTAACGATATAAAAAGACATGCAAGCACGGCAGCGTAGGCTTGTTTTATGAGAGGTCTCCCAGATTTAGGAGAAAAAATGGCGTGTATGGGGGTCATGATTAATTCAAGTTATTGCCCCCTTGTTCCCTGAAAATCCATAATTATTATTTACCGCAAGACTTGTCTGGGCATGACTAGCCATGACGTCTCCCCACCACTTAGCTAACCCAACCAGGCAAACAACTCAAAAGTCATAGAAATTTGTATCCTGTCTACCAGGAGCAATGGTGTGGTCTGATAGGCTCATAGACAAGCGAGGGCTCTCCACAAGACAAGGAAAGCTTAGCAGGCAGATACTACGAAATATAAGAGCTGATTACCCCATGACTTACCTGGGGATAACATTAACCCTTTACCTGCTGAGATGAGCGCAATCATGCTCAAGCTTCATAATTGCCTGCAAGATGAACTCAGAATAGAAAAGAAAGTTTGACCTGGTACAATATATGAGTTTAACTTGTTACACACACAATAGTCGTTTGAAAAAAACGTCGTTGGTTTGTTTGTTTGTGTGAAGAGAAACACATCAACACAACAATGGTCATTTTGTGCTGGGAAAAAGAAAGGCAGACAGACCGACAGAAACAAAAGAGGAAAGAAAAAGATGTGGGATAAAATATCAGTGGTGCCTTCCCAACCACTCGTATTTTTAAGGAAAGACATTGAGGAAATGTTCCTCCATGAAGTTCACCTCACTGCTTTATACAATCTGTAGCAAAGGGCCGCGCTTTCCACTGGAGTAAATCAATGCCGTGGGAGACGAGAAGGTGAAGTTTGTTTTCAGTCCTAAAGCAAACATATTGGTCTGGAAGAAAAAAGCCCAAAGAAAGATTGGGCAGACCTTTAGTCGGTACAGGCGACAGTCCAGACAATGATTGGGAATTAACCGAGAAACGACATGGCCTGTGGCGATTCTTTGGGGAAAAACGTTCCGGTAATACAAGAAAAATAATTCAGACCCCACAGGAGGCTCAAACCTCGTGCCTCCACTTGTTGGTCAAGTTTGCAAACATTTGCACCATAGCGGCCAAATAGCAATGTTTAAAAATGAGAATCTTTTTAACAATGTTTCATTGATATCAACAGCAAATTTCCTGTTTCACCTATTGCTTTCGCAATATGCGACACAAGAACCCGTGAATAACACGTATAAACACGCTGCTGAAAACATTGGGGTTTTTTTTTTTTAATTATCGGGTAGAACTTCCTCTAAGACCAAACTTTCCTCTTGCACTTCATTATACAACAGAGGGCACTCTGCTCAAAAAATGATTTCAAAAGTGCGAAAATATAGATTAGATGTAGCCACCGATATATCCATTTTAAAAAAAAAGAAGATTTTTGCATCTGTGTAATCCCATACATGATAGAGGAGTGAACCATCTTGTGATACAAACCTTTCCCAACACGATTCAATGATAATCGACATATTGATATGACATATTTAATCCGATTATGCCTCACTGTAAAGCATATTATGCTGAGATACCCAAAGGTCAGCGGATAGTTATATATACTATGGGCGGAATTGCGTGTTTATGATGGGATTTGGGAAACCATTATACACCATCGAGATCAGAGTTGGCACATGGGGAAAAAGTGATTGTCCCAATCAACATCATTTAGATATTTTAGGAAGCGGGCTGCTTCAATCCTCCTAGTCAGAGTCAAACTGGACTAAGTGGGATACAGCATCCCAGCAGAAAGAAAGAGACACCGAGTAAAGTCGCCCTAAGCGACCTATTTGTTAATCATGATTATACTTGGTCTTCAAAATGTAAGACCTACACATGTCTAGTTAAAGGAATACGTGTTTGTTCGATTGAGTAAAGAGAAGCATAATATCTATATGAAAATTAATCGTTTTGTTGCAGGAAGAGGGCAAAACAGACTTATGAAAACAATAAAGTAAAGAAATAAATTTTTTTTAAAGGAGGACATTCAAGCGACGCCCTCCAACTACTCGCAAACACGTGCTTACATTTATTTTGACTTAAGATTACACGAAGCATACTCGTACAACACAACAAGCAAGCGTCTTTCATTGATGTAAATTTCAATTTTAATCTAAATGGAGACAAGTATGTAAGGTAAAACAGTGAAGACGGCAAATTCCTTGAGTTGTAACTACGGTAAATCAGCACACTGACAGCCACATTCCACGAGACAAAATGACGACAATTACGGTAAACAGAACAACAAAAAGAAGTTAAGAAGTAGACGAAGCAAAGCACATGAAAGCACCCACCAACAGTCACAATCACGTTGAACAGAACTCCTCGCAACATTTTCTTTAATAAACGCGAACGTGTAAATTAGTCTAAATTATCACACAAAATCTCTTTCAACTTCTGAAACTGCTAGACGACAAATTATACCGCATGCATAACAACAACAACGGCAAATTTCTAACAGAATGTAATGTAACGTAACGTGGTGAATGTCATTATTCAGCAGCGCTTTGCCTTGGCA